AGTACAGTAGACACCCTCAATTATGAACCCTGATTTAATGAAATTCCCGATTTTGCAAACGTAAAATCAAGGGCATGATGTCATAAAAAGTGAAGTGAAAAAAAAAAAAAATGCTCGAATTGTAACTGTTATTAGCATGCATACAACACAACATACCATACTATACAGTACTATGTAATTCTCAAGTGAAGGAGGCCCTCTAACGGGCCTATTCAAATTCAGTGTTTATTATGGCTTCTTACATGTGCATGCGACAAATTTAACTTCTCTTTTAATCATCGTTTTCAGCTTTAAAAGTCAACATAGTGCTTGATTGTTTTATTGAACGATCAATATATATAATAAACAAGTATCTATGGAAGTTGTGTTGGGAGTAAAATCCACAATCTAGGTATTTAAGAAGGTAAAAACGTCCAATTAAAAACAAATTTGTGTGGGGCCTAGAGTGGGATGAGAATGCCTACTGTAGGCCTAGGCCCACTCAGACTTAGCTGCGTAGGCCTGTGGGCCTAGTTTATGCCAGTGTAAGTAGTACCAGTGCAACCCCGATTTTACGAATACCCGCAATTACGAACAGCGCTGGGCCCGTGCCGTACGTAATTGAGGGGTTCTACTGTATTACCAAATACTGGTAGGGTACTGTGTCTGAAAATGTGGACTTGTAACTTGCTTCTTAAATACCTTGATCTTAACCCTCTGGAATGTGAAATGTCCTTTATTTGAACATCAGTTTTCTCACACGCTCTGCAGATGTCAATGGACTTTTGTAGTGTTAGTTTTTTTTCTTGTAGTAACTTCTTTCTGGTGTTTTGATTCCTGATTCCTATAACTATTCGATCACGGATAAGCTCATCTTCTACTGTCTCTTATACACATCTAGATGTGTATAAGAGACAGCAATATAACAAATAATACCCGACATATATTTTCAACTGCTGAAATGATCAAACATTACAATTATTATAGGACTTGTTACTTTTTTCACAAATTTGCATCAACTCAAGAACTTCGATGAATCCAATCGATGTTCGCCCATCGGACGGCCTGTCTAAACATGTTGTTTGGTGAACTATGAACTCGCCGTAGCACATGTTTTCATCATGACACCACGGCAGCAGGATTTTTGGGAACTTTCTGTAAATTATACAGAAAAATGTTTCTAAAAACAAAGAAAGCTTATAGAATAAGCTTTTATTTGATGTATAATTTATATTTTTAGGATTTTTTATTTATAATATAATATAATATAATATATATAATATAATAGAAATGACAGAAAAATGCTACATACAAATCGTCAGCAAAAACCAAAAAAATAAGTAAATTATAGCCAAAAAAAAAAAACAACAACAAATATAAAACATTCCTATTCCACACAGTTATATAATTTATTTACCCAACCATCCATAACTATAAGCACGATCTTTCCAACGGCCACCCTCACATTTCTAGGCCTAGGCTCATCGTCATCAAGAACATCTCCGCCGTTAGAACTGCTTGAAGCCCCACCGTCATCATCGCTATCAGGCACGTCTAAGTCTCGCACATCTAAAAACTCACTTTCATCGCTGTCTGAATCAAAAATCACGTCAATCTGTGTACACATCTTGTGCGGCCATTTCGGAAAATTTTCGAAATTAATAACGATTTCAAATTGATATTTCTAAACAATTTTATATAAGCGCATGTGAGTTCTTCACAGATCTCGAAAGAAGAAAGCTTCACGCATGCGTGTTCAAAATTTCTGACGTATTGGAGCTAAAATAAAAACAGGAGTGATTTTAAAACCACCTATTTTTTAGTCACTAAATTTCGATTGAAGTCGAAAATGGGAATTCTCGGTTTGAGGTCAATTTCGACTACAGTCGAAGACGGTATCTAGAGGGTTGAGTTTGAGCAATCTTCCAATATAATCAGTCTCATCACATAGATATTTATTATGATGTCTAGCTAAACTTTGAACTTTATGGTAATTTTATAAACACCTGGATTGTAGCTATAAAGATATAATCAGGTGATTGTTTTTTTTGCATGTGACAACATAGAACCATACTCTGAGCTTAAAAACTTGGCTGCAGCAACATCATTCTGATAGGCAAGTGCTGAGCATTCCATGATAATGATCAAGTGTATTGAGTGTCTGCATGTGTTACCCATGTACATCAAGGTCATGAGCTCCATTTGAACACTTGTGGGGAGTCTGTGAAGACATTAATGAAGACCTAACTCCTTGTAGCCCATTGACTGTTTTGGAATGTCATAGTTAATTAAGTTTTCATGCTTCAATTGCTAATTAGATTTATGATTAGAAGTACAAGGAACTTTGGAGGTATTGTAACACCAATGCTATTTAATACTAAACATAGCAAGCGGTGATGGAAAAAAAGAAGTATAGCAAAATAACATATTTAATACTGGTTATGGTAAAAATAATATAGTAGACACTACAACAGTATTAAGGGGACACTTTTTTTGCTGTTAAGTGAGGGAAATATGTATCTTGTAACACTACGGCCAACCACTATTTAGAGGATACCCTAGGGACACAACACTATTTGCCATCCCTTTATTACTGAGCAGTGCTGCTGTATCATAACCGTATAGGCTCATGATTGTAGGTTTGAAAAGTGTATGGAAACTGACCTAGGTTTTTAGGCACTCAGACATATCAACCACTTGGTATGGTACGTTTTTGCTCCGATACAAAGCACAGTGTCATGGTACTGTGCATAGCAAAGTTGTACTTTATGTTCAGAACCGGAAAGGATCCCGATGTGCACTAAACAGTAAACTACTTTATAGGGACCAGCTTAGAAAGACTTGATCAGGCAGAAAAAGCTTATCTGTTAGTGTCTGTGAGACCATGGAGTAGCACTACGATTGAAGGGTCTATAACTTTAATGATGGATAAGGTCTGATAAGGGCATTATTAGGTTGGTTAAATGTTACATGACTACTGTATTGTGATAGGCAATTTTCAGCATAGTATACATTGTGTGTCAGTAAAGAATCTACAGGCTACAGTAATGACATCCATATCTAAATTGCATTACAGTACATTTAGGCCATATAAAAAATATCATTAGTTTATTACCCTATCTAGGCTGTGGGGAGGGTGCGAGGCAGGTTTTTTTAAAAATTTTAATTTGCTAAAGCCAAATATTACCCTTGGGTTGTTTGCTGGTGCATTGATATTGAAAGTAAAACATGATTGAGACAATACAAACAATACTACTATTTTTTTGAAAATGAAAAAATAGAAGAATTTTTTTTTTCCCAAAAAATTAATTTCTTCAAAATGTTTTTTCAGTACCTTAGAAGACAGATAGGCATGAGATTGATAAACTAATATTTTTTTGTATTGGACTTTGGAAGATGTGTATAAGAGACAGCTACTCTACTATACCAGAAATAATCACTTTCTTAACGAGATAAACATAGGGCGGCTCCGTTGATAGATCAAAGGGATTACTTTGGTTATATCTCCTTCTTTTTTATACCTCCATGGTTAAATGTGACATGACTACTGTATTGTGATAGGCAATTTTCAGCATAGTATACATTGTGTGTCAGTAAAGAATCTACAGGCTACAGTAATGACATCCATATCTAAATTGCATTACAGTACATTTAGGCCATATAAAAAATATCATTAGTTTATTACCCTATCTAGGCTGTGGGGAGGGTGCGAGGCAGGTTTTTTTAAAAATTTTAATTTGCTAAAGCCAAATATTACCCTTGGGTTGTTTGCTGGTGCATTGATATTGAAAGTAAAACATGATTGAGACAATACAAACAATACTACTATTTTTTTGAAAATGAAAAAATAGAAGAATTTTTTTTTTCCCAAAAAATTAATTTCTTCAAAATGTTTTTTCAGTACCTTAGAAGACAGATAGGCATGAGATTGATAAACTAATATTTTTTTGTATTGGTCCTTACAGTAGATATCTTTAAACAGTTAAAAAAGAGTGATAAGATATTTTTCCTTGCTACAGTAAGACTAGGTTTTTTATACCTTAATTACTGAACTTATAAAAAAAAAATAAATTAAAAAAAATTGTATTTATCATGATGTATCGTACCAGCAGAATTTTTTAAAATATGAAATTTCAGATTCCTCTTGGTGGTGTGTGCGTTAACAGATGAAAAATAATACTTTATTTTTATATAAAATAATCATTATCAACAGGCAGTGGGTTCGAAACAAGGCATTAAAAAAGCTCTTCCCAATCACCTATGAGTAAATAAAGATGCTTAAATTCCGTATTCTCTTTGTAAAGTTGTAGGGGTTTTTCAAAATTTTTGGCTCAGTTAAGTACTTGAAAACAAAATTAACAATTTGAAGACAGCAATGCTCTTACCTTTCTTGCTTGTTTATATCTGATTATATAGTTCATGTGACACACACGTATCACAAAGTAACTTTGTCACGTCAAATAACTGTTTTAACTATATATCTGTTTTAATTGTACACTCCCACTAAAAAAAAAACACAAAATTATTCAAATTTAGGTATGAGAGTGCCATTTTCTCTATTTCAAATTCTTGGATTCATCACTGAATACTTCTCATTTCAGTATTTAGGTAATTTGCATGATTTTACCTTTGGAAGTTTTTGGTTACTGTTCTTCAACAGCTGATCAGGAAACAGACACGTTCTACCAGTGGTGGCTTCAGAAATTTGCCGGGGGGTTCAAACCTAAGATGCCGGCTAGAGCCTCGGTCAGGATCCCGGAATAATAATCCCTGGTGCTGTTTACGAGGAGAGTTATGGATAGCCCATATTGTGCTTTTAGACCACAATATAAAGATTAGCAATCAAAATAATGTTTATATATGGATGGGCAAATTATTGTTCTTGGTCCTGCAAATTCATTGTGCATTGGACGACGGGGGTTCAGGCCTGTCTGACGGGAGAAAATTGCCTATGTGGAATCACCACTGTGTTCTACCAGTCCAATTTAACTATGTTATTCTTTTCCTCCTTCTGCTTACAGGCTGTATATAGGGATTGGTTGTGTGCGACTCACGGGCTATATCAATTTGAAAACGAAACGAAACCCTGTCTAGATATGTGCACGTCTGTTATGTCTCATTGCCCTTACCTTGTACCCAGCAAGCTCTACGGTGGCTCCCCTTCATTTCTTTGTCCAGGTAAGATAAGTGAATGAAGTTTGTATGATCTTTGCGGCACTTAATTTTTGTGATTTTGCTAAATATATTTTGTTGTGGCCTTTTTTTGTAATTTATTATTAAGAGAATGAATTTTTGATGACAATACAAATCATTCTAACATTGGGTACTGGAGGAAACCTTTTTAGGTAAACATAGTAAAAGGAAAACACTTTCATGTATGTTAAAATGTAGTTTTAAAAGGAAAACATTGTTTATAAATACTGATATAATTTTAATATTTTGGGTTAGTTCTGAAAGTGGCTTTCTTGCAACTTATTACCATACCTTAAAAATATCATTGTCTTAATGTCATTTTCTTTTCAGAATTTTCTGATTTGACTTCTAAAGATCAATATGCACATGGAGGACAATGCTTCAAATGTAGAGGAGCAGAACTCGAGCCCCCATCAGATAATAACTACAGTGTTGACCAGCCTTGCGAGTACATCATAGCAACCAGTGGATCTAGATCAGTGGCCATAAAATTTGTCTTACCTGTTTGGCTTATTTTTCTGATGCGAATTTGTGTATATTTTAACACTGCCAGCTATTCATAGCAAAAAAAGAGTTTGCTCATTAACCTCATTATTAATGATCTCCAGAGTTTGCCAGCCAAATGCTTTTTGGCAGAGTTCTCTCCAAGCAAATGCTTATTGGCCGAGAGTTCTTCAGTCAAAATGCTGGTTGGCACTGTGCTACAGTCGAGACGATTGTTGGTACAGGTTCTCCAGCCGAATGCCTGTTTACCACAGAGTTCATTAGCCAAATGCGTATTGGTACAGAGTTCTTCAGTCAAAATGCTTGTTGGCACAGTTCTCTAGTCCAAATGCTTGTTGGCTTTATGTTCTCCAGTCGATGATTGTTAGCTCCGTGTTCTCCAGCCAAGTGTCTGTTGTCAGAGTTCTCCGGTCAATATGTTTCTTGGCATAGTGTTCTCAAGCGAGATGCTTAATTCACTAGTATGCAGTGATGATACTGGTTGATGGTTGCTCTAGTGGGGAAAATTTCCAGTTACTAGTTGTCAGAGACACCAATCCTTTTAGGTTAATGGATGCCAAATACATCACAGGTGTCACCAATTGATAAGAAAGAACCTCACCAGCTCTAACATCTAAAGTTTGCTGGGGTCTAGCAATGACAGCTCTGTATTTTTTTGCAGATCATTTGATATCAATGACCGATTTTTCGCATGAGAGTACTGTATTTGAAACCATATCAGCAAACCTCAAAGGAGACTATAACGTCAGGCCAAATTCCCATAAGAAAGGGATGAAGAGTGGTGTATATCTCTTCCCAGCCTAAAGTACTGGTAATTGTTTATTGATATTTGTTATTAAGTGAACATAGGATGGCAAAGATTCCTGTTGATCCGGGAAGTAGTGCTGTATCTAGAACTTTGATATTCAGTAAGTAGAAAGTATAGAAAGAAAATAAATGTTGTGTAAAATTCTTAAACCAAATTGGGATATACAGCCATATAGACATTGTTGAGTTGTTTCCTATACCTGGGTATAAAATCGTATGAAGTTACACCATCTGACAATCAAAGTTCTAAAAATTCTTGATAATCAGGGAAGTATACTAAAAAAAATATAATATAGTGACATTTATAGTGACATTTATAGTGACGTTTTTGTATATAAATCTCTGTCCACGCTATTAAGCTTTTGTGACAAATGTCTATGATGTCATATCCCACCCATATACTGTAGGTGGTGATATATATATCGCAATCACACACATATCTGGGATAATCCTAGATGTTGTCGCAGTAAATTTTGCTAGTGTGGACAAAGCTTTAATGATTTAATTTTGGACATGTTGACTGCCATTGAGGACCTCACCAATTTTTCCAAGAAAAATCAAGCACTGCATAGTTTCTACCAAATTACAACAAATTCTTACATTCATTTTCAATCCATAGTGGAGATGTATTTGGCATTGGGACATGTTCTTCAGTTACATACATGTGCCTGAGTTTTTGTACTGTTGAACAATTGAATAATTATAAAACTAACTATAATTATATGATAATTTACAATCCACCACTTGAAGCAGCATACAGTATTAAAAATTTGTTTATGTTTTGTTTAGCAAACTATAATTTTGAAAATTTTTCAAAAGAGGGTGGAAAGAAAACAAAATATAATTTTGTTTCATATTGCATTGCATTTGTAAAGAATGTGATGTAGCGACATAAAACGTTTAGTAAATTTACTAATAAATAGTGTAACTGAGGAACAAAATAAATGCAGAAATTTTTACGATGGCTGCAATTAACAGGTAAAAAAAATTAATTTGATATAATAATTATCTGCATGTGGCAGGTTTGCGAAACAAGGTATAAAAAAGTTATAAAAGTCTTGCTTACAATAACCTTCTGTGAGATGAGGTATGCTACAGTGTATTGCAGATGACATACATTATGACACCATGTGACAATAGAGAGCTTTCGATTGGATGAAACGGTGGGATGTAGAATGTAATGAAGTCATTAAAAAGTCATCTGCGCATGTGAGAATGTTAAGTTCTCATCGCGTGGATTTTAGGACACAATTTGACCAAATCTGTGTTGTGCAGGGAACATAGGATGGTCACAATTGAGTGAATCCATTCTAGCGTCGCGCCATCACGCAAATCGAAAGCTGCTGATTTCACATCAGTTTTCTACGATATGACAGCATTCAGCATGTTAAAAGTTTTACTGTTCTTTATTTTGTATATTTGTCCACAATGATACAATTCTGCTTGTATTTTGGTAAGAAATTCATCTAGAAACACAAGAATGGATATGTCGGTAATCATCAGTGGACCCGTATTAAAGAAAAATGAGAAAGCAAAGGCAGTGCTAAGTAATGTAGGATCTCACTGAGAATTTGTTGCTATCTATAATGCATTTTCAATATTCCTAGTTAAATTCAGGTCATCAGCCCCTTTCCCTAAAAGTGACCTCTTTTTAACATTCATTTCATGTTGATATTTTATTTTAATATTCAATTTCATCAATGAATTTGATTAGTATTTGAATCACTATACTATTGGTAAATTAGTTGACGCAGAAAAAATGTAACATTTGGTAGCATGTATGTAACACCTGCAAAGGTAAACATCTGTAAATGTGAACACCTGCAAAATTTGAACATCTGCATATTGTAGGTTAACATCTGCAAGTTGAACACCTGGGAATGTAGACACCTGGTAAACATCTTGTTTAGGGGTGATGTGTGAATAACACATTGATAACCTTCTCCAGTCCTTGGATTATCTTTCTCAAAGCTGTATGGAAATGTATTTACAGCTTTATTATACACTGAAGACTAACTCATTAACTTATGAATGTAGTATCTGACGAGACTCAGTTATGTTTGATGCAACTTCATAAACCTTCCTTTTTTTATAACAAAAAATAATATATATATACCAGAGGTTATTTGCCACTGCACACTGCCTTCAAACTTCACTGTAGTTTCTTCAATCTCTCATTTTTATTAGAAGCTACCTGTAGAACACTGCAATACAGTGATAGTCCATATGCTAATTAAAGTATTACAATTATTCAATTAATGAAAGTAATTCCAAAGGGCCTATGTTACTCTGAAATTTCTCTATAGTGTAACTTTGAGCCCAAAAGAATATCAGACAGTATGATAGATACCGTGTAATGAATTTTAAAAATACTGTAATGATTTTAAAAGTTGGATCTAGCATGGAGTTTAAAAAGGTAGAAATGTTCAGAATGTTTTCAGAAAACTTCACTTCAAAAGATAACATGGTCATTTATCACTGTATATCCCATCTTTCCATTGTTTGAGTGTATTTAATTTATTTATATAATTAATGTGTAATTGGAGTAAGTGTTTGTCGACCATAACATGTGTAAATTTAAAACTAGCCCTTGCCGTGAGCTGGACTCAGCAATGGTGTAAACTATTTATACCAACATTGAATTTTGCACATTTCTTTCGTTAATAATTTATACCGGTTCTGCAAATGTTTGTAACGTGGAATATGTAGATAATTATCATTATCAACTATATATTATAAATGTTTGTTATTAATATTCTGTTTAAGCCTTTACTCTGTTCTGCAAATGTTCATATGCAGAATATTTATATCTGTATGCTATTTGAACAGTACAGTATTCTGTATGCAAATTGTGTATTGCGTATTGCGCTTACTAAAATGTTTAACAGTATATACTGTACAAACTTATAAAACTGTAAATAGTATAAAATATACTGCTTACACAATATATTCTATACTGTAATATACTGTTGTTAATATACAATATCTCTGTATACATTGTGTTTTGTACATTTATTTTATTGCGTGCAATGCTGTATATTTTACAGTATATGTATTATACAGTTTAGACTTACTTTATATACTGTACTGTACATGTAACTGTAAAGTATATTTATATCATCACTGACATACTGTTTATATTGTATATATTGTACATATGTAATGTACAGTATGTACCAATAATGTACTATGCATTATACTGTGTTTCTGTGCAGTATATGTACTGTACACATTGTGTACAATATGTTTATATTAACAATATATTATTACATTGTACAGTATGCTGAGCATACAGTGTATTTATTGCATTATGTACTGTTCATTCTGTACAGGATTTTATTTCAAGAATACTGTTTATGACTGTTTACGGTATATACCCTGTACAGTATACTATACAGCACACTGTTCATATATTATATACAGTGTTCATTTAAAACAATATGCTACAGTGCTGTTGTAAAATTACATCAGTATATGTACTGTTCATATAGTATTTTGAATCAACAGGAATGTATGTTGTAAAAATGCTGTACAGCTATACACTGTTTGTACAATATGCACTCTGTACACCTACTGCTCATATACTGTTCATATACTATACAAATACTGGTATTTTGCACATGAACAATATGTACTCTGCATTAACACTGTTGTAAAAATACAAAGTGTTATGTAGCATACTGTTCATTTAATACACTGTGTACAGTTTTTGAATTAACAGCATTGTAATGTTGTATAAAACTATACAGATTATAATACACTGTTTATTCACTATACAGTATGTACTTTAATAGAGTAACACTACTCTGTAATAATACTGTTATTTACAATAAATCTTATTTACAGTATAAACTTAACATCATATAGTATAAAGTGTGTACAGTATATCTCCAGATTTAATCATACTGTATGTTAATTTTAAATGATTGGCATTTTATTGGGTACAGAAGTGGTTTTTGTGGCTAAAGTTGTGTACTACCAGAGTAGAAATAATTATAGTGGATCTCATATTATTAACACTCTGCCCGCCAAACACGTAGATCTCCGTGTTCGGTAACGCAACGCTTGACCGCCAAACACGGAGATCTCCATGTTTCAGGTTTTTTACGGAATCCGATAGATAGGGGAATTACTGACATGTACTAACAATTTGAACACTATATTCAGTCTGGACCGTAAGTACTTCACTATTTGTTTGTTTACATTAGTATAGAGCGGTAATGATTTACTTTCACGAAATTGCGATTATCTCAGCTTCGTTGTGCGAAATTGTGTAAATCTCCAAAAGTGAGTCATTTTCATTTTACTGTTACAGGTCACAGATTGTGATTAGAATAAAGTGTTTAGTACCATTGTATCTAAAATGTTTGTAGTTCTTGTAGTATTCACTACCTGTCAATCTGATCACATACGCACTCTCAACAAGCTTTGGAAAAGTGCAAAAAACTTGCTAAAATGTCTGGCGGTGTCTGATACTATTTTTTCAAACCCCTGGCGGTCAGAGTGTTAAAATAAACCAGTATATCCAGAAAATATGAGCCCATAAAAGGTTTTTTACTTGTTTAATTAAATGATACATTGTGAAACTTACAGTATCTTATACATAATCCCAATGAAGTATCTATCTTTATGATTTTTTATCAATCGAGCAATCAACCAATTTATATGTATAGTAGATCTCACCTTCATAACCAATAGCAAATATGTATATTATCATGTGGGAGGGAACATAATTATCATATTTATTTAAAAAATATAATCCATCTCATTCTCTAAATTATGTGTACTACGAAGTTTGTATCCTAGCACAGAGCCACTAAGGTGTTAATGTATTTATTTCTGTAATATCAATTTATACGTTGGATAGCAATTTCACGACTGTTAAATCCATTGTTGTAAACGATGATGAGCATTAACCCAATTAATTATGAATGCTGTTAAGCATCATAACCGCTGTGTTTTATCTGTATGGCTAGTACCAAAGTTGATTTTTTTTGTGTAGCTACTGAAATCCAGATTAATTAGCCTTGCTACCATTTAATGAAGTGATATGAATTTGAGTGAGGAAATATGAAGAAGAACCATAAATACTACAGGAATAGATGTAGCACACACTGTGGCAAAGATTCCTTGAAAATCTCCCAATTTATTTCAGCGATTTGAAATTGAAATACAATTTGATATCTTAATTCTTTTGGCAAAAATGCGCAATTCCTAGAGAAAATAGGGGGTAAACATATTTTCAATCAATCAAATGTATGCTAAGTAAGATAACTCTGCCCTAGTTGTTTTCGTTCGGCAACGGGTCGTATGTGTCATAATCTCACTCTGTTCCTAAGAACGGAAAACACTTGCTAACCAGCATTATCTGAATGTTTGCAAGAAAAAAAAGATAATTGCCACAGGCTTGTCAAAGTACACAGAAATACTATAGAAGACTTGGTTTTCACTGCTTCCCTACAGATTAAAATCAGGTGTAAAAATTGATTTTTAAGAGTGTAATACATGTCCACATGACAGGGCCATGTTAATATACTATTGATTGTAGCATGCAATCATTATCCAAATTTCCTTAATATATAAATTACATGATTAACTATGGGAACCTTAAAGTTTTTCTTTTATTGAAACCTACATTTTTCTACATAGTGACATAGTTATCGCATTTCAATATATACTTCCATTTAAATATATTCCGATCCTAGAATTAAACCAAGAATGAATAACTCAGGAATTCAACATCCCTCCCAAATAAATTAACCTCAGATCGCATTCCCTCATCATTCATGGCTGTACACACGTTTTAAAAACCAACAGGGGCTCTGAACTTTAAACTGATGAATTGAATATTGACAACACATTTTCATAGATTTCACTTGAGCTTATTATGTGGGCGGTATTGCAGTGTCAGTATCCTTCGTAGATAAGCTACATAAATTATATAATTTAAGTAATTATGCATTCCAAGCTATTTTCTTGAATCTCTAGATCTCCTGTAGTACCAAATGGCCTATTCTATATATAATTAGATGATTTCATGCTACAAAGTAGCACCTAGATGTTATATTCAGTACATAATAATTAAAGGATGATTCTCTGCTACATTATTGACCCATGTATTCTTTGTAGCAGCAAAGAATTAACAAAGGATCTTCTTGGGTAGATAATATTTGTATAATTTTATGCCATAGTGTTGATCCCATAGACTTGATAGGTGTAGCATGGTTTTTTTTAATATGGGTGATTGCAATCTTCCATGCATTGGCTCAGTCAGCGCACCATTGGAGTAGCAAGGATATCTTCTTGGATAGATAATATTTAGATAATTTTTTACCGTAGTTTTGATCCCATAGATGTAGCATGGTTTTTCAACATAGGTGATTGCATTCTTCTATGCATGGTTTTTTTTTTTTCTGTAGCACTAAATTATTTGATACATAGTGGACAATCTTAATATATATTTTTCACCCAAACATTAGTTGACATTTAGTGAGAATTTTGTATACCTGGTTTTGCGAACCTTCCGCTCACTGATAATGATAATTTCTAATAAAAGTTTTATTTTATTTTTGGTCTTTTAGTGCATATTTTGGCATGAAAAAAAAAAAAAAATCAGAAATAAAGATACAATAAAAATAATTGAAAAAATTAACACACCCATTGCTGCCATTTATTCTCTTAACTAAGAACTATAGTTCTTAAAAACATTTGTCACTTCATCGAGATCGACATTGTGGCATTCTTTACAACCATGCGATATATTCTCGAGCAAGGGCATACTGTAAGAGCAACCTCTATTGACCTCACCCACTTGAATTTTCTTATTCGTCATTGCAATTTTTTTTAAATTTTCAAATCTGCTAACAAGTTTTTGGCAGAAACATTTTCAGAAATGAAAAACAATTTTTTTTTTTTTTTTGCACTCCCGATAATCTTTAAAGAATTAATATTGAAAGGCGAGACTTTTTATATACCTTGTTTAGCGAACCTGCAAATATTGATGATTTTGAATAAAAATAAAGTTTTATTTTTGGCCAATTAGCACACTTGCCGCTACGAAAAAATTAATATTTAGTAGAAAATAATAGTTTCTCTTTATTTTCATTACACCCTCCGCTGCCTTGAAATTTCAAAAGATAAGGTATGTGTATTTCTTCCTAATTATATAAATTTACAGCATTTAACCATCCTATTTTACATTCACAAATAAAATTTTATTATTTTCTCCTCCGTCTAGATGTTTTTGGCAAAACTATTTGCTAAATAAGAAAACAAAATTTAATTTTTATTTCACCCTCTCAGGGCTCCCAAGTCTCCCGGTTTGGTTCATCTCCTGGTCTGTTGGATTTCTCAAGGATTTTAACAGATTTTCACAATTAGGGCTTATATCTCATTCTTACGCATTAAATTTGGCAGACATAAAATTTATTGAACATTCTAGGCAGTAATGTGGTATTAACAGTGACCAAAACCCACCCAAGCCTGTTTGTTTTTATATTGAACAAGGCAATAAATTTGTACACGCGTGTCCTTATACATGCATTTTAGCTAGTTCACACGACAAAATCTTCAGGAATTTCACAACTTGGGACCCCTGCCCTCCTCAGATGGTCTTTAAAAAAATAAGTACGCGCAACAAGGAATAAAAAAAAGTCTCGCCTAAACAAGATAAATTATTCATTCCAAAAAAACAATAGGTGGATAATTATATGACATATAGATGATTTGATCAATTGAAAATATTAATGCTAAAGCTCTCTCCAGGTTATCAAATTTTCTCTGACAAAAAACTGTTGTATGCCCATATATAGTCATGGTGTGCCCATATATAGTCATGATGTGCCTAAATATAGTCATGATGTGATGTCATCATGACCATATTAAGGCATGTCATATGTCTATCAAATAAAATTTAATAGTGTGGACAGGGATTAAGATATTAAGATATTACTGTTAATGACATTGTTTATGCTGGTATTACACAATTAACAATGCTGTTCTTAATTAGGTTTTGTTAATTGTGTAATTGAATCAACAAAACCCTAATTAAAAAAACATGCTTTCCGATACTAAAGAGTTTATTGGATTTTGTTGGGATTATTGCATTTATATTACCAATTCCTTATGGCGCAATGACATGCTGGATATTGGATAAAGTGCCCAAGAACTACACCTACTGCTTGTGTCAATTATTTTGATGGCTTGATGAGTCATGACTTATGGGAGCAGGGAACTTGCTCCTCCATCACACCTCTGCCACCTACTGTTATAATCAATTCATATATTATTTTGGTCATCTATTCTTGGCTAAAGAAGGTATAAGTCTTGCCTTAATTATAAAACATAGAACCACCATGTCAAGTTCATACAATGATTAAGGGGTTAGCACAAGGGTGCAATTTTCAGTTGGCGTATTCGATTAGGACTTATTCATTGAGTATGTTATCCACGTTAAGTACAAACTCAACGAAGTATAACAGATGTTGAGTACAAACTCAATGAAAAAGTTAGCTTATTTACCCAACCGAATACGAAAAGTACTTAACAGATTTTCTGTTGAGCATGATAGTTCCCATTCGAATATGACAAATTAGTTACTGTAGATCAATAGTAAACAGTTCTGAAGATATTTCATCTTGCCATTTATTAGTAAGAAATAAGGAATATTTATTGCTACAAATCCTATTTATTGTTAAAATATTTATTGATTAAAAATATTAAGCTATCATTATTTGAAATCTGCTTCTAATGCTTAACTATGTATTGCTTATCTATATACAGTATCTGTAAAAAAATATCTTTGTTCAACAACAATGAAAATTCAAATTTAACAACTATATCTTGCTTAAAGACTATTGCATACATATTAAATGTTTATCATCACACTATTTCCAAATCCCACCGAAAAGTGAAAAAAAAATGTCAGAACTCAAGGTGAAACCACTTTAAATGATTTCCCATTTTAGCTTAAATTTTACCTAATGAATTTTAATTTATTGTAGAATTATCATGTGGAAAGGATTCAAAATTATGATGTAAATGAAAGCAAAGGTGTATAAATTGATATTAAAACCAAATATTATGGACATATTCTGTGTAAAGGGTGCTATAGCGAACACGTATATATTAATTAATACATTTAAATGAAAGATGGATGAATGTAATGCGAAACTAAATGGAATGCCCCTTTAATTCACTTCTTGGCTTCACAACATTGTAAAGGAAGAAAAGATGTATTAAAGGGATATTTACTATATTTTATTATAAGTGTCATCTGTACATAATGATGTATGTCTCAGTGAAAATGTAAAGACTGTTCCTTTAATTTATGTCATAAAGGATCAGTATTTGGATATAAAATTAATTAAAGAAACATTAGACCACACTTTGATTTTACGTAGCTGTTTCTGAAAGTATACGAATGTACTGAATATCCCTCAAAAGGCACTTAGTATTAAAAACCAAAGACATACTAGGATATTTCTTGGATACTATCAGAATATAACATGGATAGTATCTGGATATATACAGTGGCGTAACAAGAAGTCATGGGGCCTGGGTGGGGTGGGGGGAGAATATATTGTGGCCTTTGCGTGTCAGGAAAGTATTATTGCTCACAATGATTTGTCAAGGCTCTATATTACTATGCTTTGGAGTAAGTAGTAAGAGGAGTTTGGGGCCCCATTCTTTGTTGGAGGCACGTGGCTTTACCCCCGGGTGTCACACCACTGAATATATATCTGGGTATTTATGTCAATATAATCTGGATATATAAGTATTATTTGAATATTTAATTGGATTATTATCCAGATATTTAATTGGTTATTTACCTGGATTTTAACTTCTTTTTTTTTTTTAGTATTTGCTTTTATATGTATATCTTGAATGCTCTTTCTGTTTATTTAGTCTTTATTTTTTTTCTCTTTTTTTTTAAGTAGCCATTTATTGAAATTGCATTAATGCACATTATTTTTAACATTACCTTGATATTTAGGAGGGTAATAATGAACTTGGCAAATATTTGAATAGATATTCAATGCTCTGCTATTCAGGCACAATGCATGACAAAGACCATTTTTGAAGCAATTAAAAAAAAAAATAGCTAAAAAAATACCATATACAAAGATACTGTACACACAACAGAAGTTACAATTAAGCCTAAATTTAGTTAGCAAGCATCTTACTTGAAACTGCCACAGGCTGAAAAATACTTACTTTACTTGCAATGTAATGTGTGCTTGAAACTTTAACAGGAAGAGTTTGTGTGCGAAATGTTTGTTTGGCTATAGAGAAGGAAGAAATCGTTTGCCTTATTTACCCCAATTCATGGTGTGGCAGGGCCTGGGCTTTCACAAGGATCCAACTTGGGAGCTAAATTCAGTGCGGCAATTACAATACAATATTAAAATCATGCAAACATGCGAGAAATAATAAGAAGATGGAATACAATATTGAATATATTATTATGCAAAATCCTCACACTAATCAATTTAATATGGTCATTTAAAACTTCACCCCCACCTTGCTTATACAAAGTCTTAGTACGATTCTTGAAGAATCTTTTTTCAAGAAAACAAAAATCCTAAAATTAGTAAAACAGCTCTTAACACAGGGTGTTGTGTGGAAAATCTTCCCCCTGACCAAGCTAAAAGCCTGTGTTCAGTTTCCAAGATATTCCAAGATATAACATCATTCTGAGAAAAGCTTAACCTAAAGTTAGTAGATATCGCTACACATGGTTCATTCTCATTTGAAAAGCAGTGAGTGAACTAGGAAATAACCTACTTGCCATCTGATTGTACTATAATTATACTATGTCTGTCTTTTAACACATATACCAAAATATCTAGGGCAGTGTATAGAAAATAGGTGTTATTTATCTTGCATATAGAATTTGGTATTATTATTGAGAATGCATTTTCTGGATGGACTGGTAGTAAAGCCGTTATAAAATGAGTGACCCTGGTTTCAATATGGGATAAACCACAGTTAAAAGCTGTGTAAACTGAGTTGAAGAAAGTTTGAGTTAAACCCAATTAAAATCTGATGAACCCGTTAAAATGAGTAAACCTGGTTTAAATATGGGATAAACCAGTTAAAAGCTAGGTAAATTGAGTTGAAGAAAGATAGAGATAAACCCAATTTAAGTCTGTTGAACTCAGTTGAAAAGGGAAAACCCATTTTAAAGAGGTCAAACATGGAATGAAAAAAGGTAAACTTGGTTGAAAAGGTTAAACATAGCCAGTTACAGAGGTTGTGATGTACCTTGTTGGTGTAATCACAATCGAGCTGAGTAAATTATTATGATAGGTTTATTAATTCAAAGGTATTGATCATTACAAAGAGATTTGAACAGAACTAGTGTTTTACCTACTTAATTTACTGTTTTGATCATTTATTGGCCTCTTGGCTAGTCTTTTTAATGACTAAAGAGATGGCAGGGAGGCAGACATTACGTGCCATGCCAGCTCCTTAGTCATGTGACCTGCTCTGCTTATTTGGGTCAAAGGTCAGGGCATCTATTTCAAATTCAGTAATCAGATGCATGGATCTTTTGTATTCAAAC